TTTCCTTTTTTGTTTCTTTCTGTTTCCTTCCCACATATTTTAGAACGTTATTCATGAGCTGTAGTTGAAAGGTTTTCTTCGGAGAAATTTTGTGTCTAAGCTTTTTGATGAAGAAGAGGTTCTAAATTGAATAATACCTGGGTTAAGATTCCCATTTTGTGGTCAAAATGACTACGAAGTGTGGTCTGAGGTCGGAAGGGTTAGTAGCCACTCAAAATGGGATGTTTCATATCTAGACAGCTACATACCTTCTGTTATCTTGACTGGGCACAAGCGCAAGTGTAAGATATCCTTCTTATAAGTGCCTCGTAATGCTCCTTAACATTTATAAGGGAACTTTCAGGAACAATCAGTCAGTCCTAGACCTTATGCCTGACATTCCTAATAATGTTTTTATCACTGCATAATTGCAAGTTTAATGCCAAAACCACCATGCATAACAAATCCTCAAGGCATTCCGAATGATCACCTGAGTATGCTTAATACGTGAATGCCGTAAGATTTGGAAGATTCGTTTTCGAAGCATACGAAGGTGAATTTGGCATTCTAATGAACTTATACTTCTAATAAACCTTTTTCTCTGTGGCAGCTGGAACAAGCATGCGTTGCACTATTCTTGCGAATCAGTAATCAGTTTCTAAATTGCTGGAGGTTGGCGGTTGATTCATAACCGGGGGTAGCATGGAATAGCGGCGTACATTGATTGTGGCACTTTTCTTTGGGATTATGGGAGGAATCATGCTTGGCATAATGACAGAATGGTTAAGTAACGCACAGGCATGTTTGCACCGCGTTCAGACGTGATTCTCGGAAAGGAAACTTTTGAACGGGTCTTCGTGGGCGTCAAGTATTCAAACAGATTGTGTTTTTTTACCTCTTGCTGTGGCCGATGTCAGACTTTGCGAATCCAGCGATTCGCTAGCGAATCGCTGGATACGAGCGTTGCACCAGCGAATCGAACTATGCACCAGCGAGTCGAACGATGTACCAGCGACTCAACACTGTTTGAAGTGGCGGACCCAACGTTTAAAGGAAGTCCCGCCACTTTCAAACAGTGTGTTCCTTTAAAGTGGACTTCCTTTAAACGTTGGGTCCCGTCACTTCTCAAACAGTGTCGATCCGCTGGTGCAATGCTCGTATCCAATGATTAGCTAGCGAATCGCAAAATTGACATCGGCCTGTTAGTCACACGCAAACCCGAACCCCCTTAACACTCTTGCGTCAGAAACGACCTGCAGTGGTTGGTTATAATTGTGGTCACGACTGAGTTGATTTAAAATAAAGCGCAAGTGTTTCATTTGAGCCACAAGGTTGAAAATCAAGAAAAATCGATTGTTCATCATAAATCAAGTTCTCATTTTTAAGGTTAATCAATTCGCTTGATTTCGATGTTGTCGTCTTTGACACAGCTCCAACCGGACATACACTCCGTCTGCTTCAGTTCCCCGTTATTCTTGAGAAGGCGTTCACGAAAATCCTATCACTTCAGTCCTCCTTCGCTCCGATGTTGGGACAGGTGACGTTATCCTCTTTCTGTTTCTTCTTAGTTTTTTCTTTATTTGTTCTGTCGTTAGAAATTTATCCCCTCGCAATTTCCGTTGTAGTGTTATTATCAGAAGGTCTAATTTTGTTAGCTATGTTTGCTGTACTTACAGCAGGTACATAACTTCTCTGCAAGGAGCACTTGTTTCCCTCAACCGCATGCTGCTTGAAGGAAAAGTCATTTCCAGAATTCTACCTTTTTTGTATTGACTATCCTTGGCGGGTGCACCCATTCTTTTCTTTCTTTTTCCAGAAATTTTGTGTGACTTGTGCAGATTCACGTCGCCGCGCTGCTTTTCAACAATAGTCTTTTTAGAACGCGGAAAAAGAGAATCGGCGCTTGTTATTTTGGCAATACCGCTTTCGTTCTCATCTGTTGGGAGTTCCTGTTTGATTATCTTTCACTATATTTTAGCTGTCTGGCTTGCTTGGAATGGGCGAATTATCTATGGATGATACATTAAGAAAATTCAATGAAACGTTAGATCAGGTCAAGCGAATGAACGTCGAGTTCAAGAATCCTGTATGTTCTTTTTGATTTCTGGTTTCATGCTGTTGTTTAATTGACCATATTTAAGGATCTCACTACATTTGTTTGTGTATGTATTGCGGAATTTTTGTCTCTGTATGAGACAGAACGTCTCATTCAAGAGCTCACGAAACAGGTCAGTGGTTGATAATAGCTACCAGCTTCATTGAGAGCGATGACAGTTCAAATTCGCTCGAATTTCAATTCCAGGGTATCGACACACATAATATAATTGTGAATCAGCTGTTGTTCCCGGATACCGTTGACGGTTGCGTTCAATGCAAAAAATGTCAGGCACGATTTCGAATACAGTCGAAATATCTTGAACAGGTGCGTTTCCTTTGTCTCTTTGCTCGTTGTCCTACTTACCGTATCAATAGATTGCAAAGATTCTTTTGTCTACAGAATATAAATAATTCATGAATGAAGGCAAGCACACATGATTTCCTGTTTATGACGTCATATAAAATGTTGTTGTGAATTTGATAACGTTGTCGTGGTGGCACGACAAGATCATCATTCGCCACGCAATCACAGTATCCTTCAAAAATTGAAAGAGGATTCGATTTCTACGCGAACTCTGCAGTTTGGAGTGTTTTTCAAAATTCTTTTTCGAACATTTGGTGTGCTATGCTACTCTCTCTTGCAGAAAGCTCTCTCATACTGGAATTGCTGTAGATCTAGCAATGAGGGAAGCAGAACAGGCCGCACTCCGACCTTTTACTACCAACAGTATTCGATTTTTTTACGACACCTGAGCTTTTTCTTTCCAGGTCCCAGTCAAAAATTTAAGAGCTCACTCCGTGACTGCAAAATGTGGGTAACTGGGTACAAATCAGCTAATATTTTTGAAACCTGTTACAAAAAAGCAGAAGAAACTCCAGAAAGTTGTTGTGACATCAGCCTCGGAGGCAAAACAACTGAAAAAAGCTGCCGAAGATGTCGTAAATAAGGTTATTCAAGTGGCATTTAA